ATTTGTGAGTCATTTCATTTGCTGCAACGTTTGGGCACCTTAGGCTTATCCAAGATTCCTTAATCAACTTTGTTTTCCCTCATTAATCCTATAATTTCCTAATTATAAGTTGATCTCCCACTTAAAAATTCATATTACCCAATTATCCACATAATTAAGAATTATCCCAAATTACTTAAAATACTACTTATTTTTAACACACCTTATACACCTTACGATCATGGTCATGTAGTACCTTGTATGGCACTAGTCCATAAATACCGGGTATTATAGCTCGGACCGTATTTTATCTCAAAATGTCAAACTTTGACGAAATTCATTTTGTTCGATTTTCTTACCCTCTCACCTTCACGAATTTACTCATATCTCATTTGAAATAGCATAATGCTTATAATCTCAAAATAATCCAATTCCCGAACTTACGTTGATTAACTTACGACAAAACTTTAACGTACAAAAATGCGGGACGTAGAATCTCATTTTCGGTCTTATATCTATTTACTTTTGGCGTACTTCCACATACGAAAACATGGGTTGTAACATCATTCCCCCCTTTGGAACATTCGTCCTCGAATGTTGGCTGATGCACTTATCATTTTCATGACATATGCCTTCCAAATACTTTAGTACTCTCCTTGCGATCTAGGCAACTGTTCTATGAATAATTCCAAAGGCCATGGCATTCCCCTCTTTAGGCCTCTTTCTCACACCATGACTTGTGGTCGTAATCCTTCCAACTCATAACTGTTGTTACCTTCTATCATGCAGCCTGTACGACTTTGACCTTCTAAGTGTACCTATGCGACTCTTCTCCCTTTTTCCTCCAGCTTTTGGCAAATCTCTTGGCCTCACTTTGTAAACATGTACAGAGCTTGACAAGATGTCTCTCTGGGCATCTATAGGTATAATGAAGTGCTTCGCTCAATGCTTTGTTGAACTTACGAATATTGTTAAACCTTATTTGATAGATCCGTTTATCCATTTGTATGACTTTACTGCCATAATTCTTACTTTGATTTATCATTACTGAGGGCTTCTACCAAACTCCAGGTTACTCTCGTTGCTTATCCTATATGTATAAATCTATGTCCTATAATGCTTATTCATTACAGTTCATCTTAAGAATGACGATCTAATCTCATTTTATACTTTGTGACTTTTGTCCAACCATTGTTGATTCACCTTAATGTTAATCTATCATCCATCACTGATAACTTGATCTCTTATGTAACTCTGTCGCTAGGGCTCACGTCACTTGGGGCGATACCTTGCTTCCATAACCGTATTTCATAGCGTCCCAATGTGATTCACCTTACGTGGGTATTCTACTCCTATACAATTCATGAAATCCTCTTCAAGTAATTACTCAATCGAAGGCCCAAACGTCGTCCTTTATCTATCTTAATTACACCTTTATTCAATTACCAGGGCAGCATTCCATCTCTTCTAAATGCTACTAGTCTTAGATTTCTTTGTGTTCATTCTGGCTATACTGAGCTTTCTATATCAGCTATCTTGTTTTCATTGGCTTAATCCCGAGGACTCATCCGTTTCTCGTTACATTCTCACTCACCCTTTCTTGTCCTTACTCTTGTCTTCCTAAAACCTTGTCGCTCTATCATACTTTAGCTTGCGACCTACATATATCCATTTATACTGCTCGCAATCTATCTTGCACCATAGATTTCCTTGTATTATTCTGGAACATCAAGCAAGACATCGCATCGTCTCTAACTCTTCTTTACTCTCTTAATCAGCCTTCTCGATACCTAAAAACCATAGGCTGGAAGATATGCCACAGACGACGCTGCTATCATTCCCGGATATTGAATCCCCGCACTTCTAGCCTTTTATCCGAAGTAAGGACGATCTACAACCTTCTGAATTTGAGTATCTCGTACATTGTCCACCTTTACCTTACTTATCTTTAAGTCTCACATCACATCTTTTATCTTTTTCATGACCTCCCTTCCACATAGGTACTTGCAGCTCTTTACATGATTCGGTGAGAGCTTCATACTGACTTCTTATGAGGCTGGTACTCTTCTATCTGGCTTTATCGTAGAGCCGTTATAAGATATGGATACTGTACTATATATGGTAAAAATCGGAAGGTCCGAATTTGTGATCAATAAGGCACCTCGTGAAGACCATTCTAGAAGGCTCGAGGTTGGGTTCGAGGTTTGACCCCCGAGGGTTCCTGACATTCAACCTCGAGATAGTGCAAATCGACGATTATCATGAGAAAGCAGGAAGTACCCCAGGTGTATGATCCAATGCTGACAAAACCTGGAAGGGAAACACTAGTCTGTGCTAGACTAGTAAATAGTTGTGTCAGCTATATTTCTTTGTAATAATTACTCATGTACTATGTTGGGATTTCCCTCCATATATAAAGGGGATCCTTGTCATTTTATAAAGAGACACAATATACAAGATACAATACACTACATTCAATACAAGAACATTCTCTGCTCTCTAAATCAAACATACTCTCTATTGATTCTATTGTTTACATTTATTGTCTTACTAGCCCTTATTATAAATCATTAATTGTTCTTCATTTATTGCTTATTATTGATCGCAAAGAGCTGCCATCAAAGCTCTCATAATTGTTAATCCTCCATCGATTGCCCTTAGTCAGGCAACAAACTCGACCTCAAAGCCCCGTATACGCCAGCTCAAGGCCCTGATTTCCGGCCATTCGGTTTGATTATTACACTATCTATAAGTTCTTATCTTATTTTCTAATTTCTGACTTAGTATCAATTGCCTAACTACTAGCATAAAAATAAATCACGTATTTTTAGAACCACAAAATTAAATCTAATTGTTATTACCGTTTTCAAGGTAAACATGTACTATCTCTGTTGTACCTCTGATATTAAGGTTGATCCTACAATGTTCTCAATCACGATGTCCATAACTTTTTGGGTCCAATAATCAAATTCCTGATTTACTTAGTTCATGTAACTCTCCAGTTTCCTCTTCCCTCTGATCAACCGTTATGTAAGCTTAAGCTATCTTCTGATTTGCGGCTCATGGTATTACTTTTGCCTTTCATGGACGCTATGGAATATCCAGGATACATTCTTCTAACAATTCGATCCTTTGTCTTTAATTACGTCTTGCACTGGCTACTTATCTATCAATAACATCACAGGCAGAAATCCTTACTTCCTCCCCTTGACGCCGTGTTTGCGTAATATTCTGGAATCGTAGCATATCGGTAAGATTTAAATAAGTGCAATCTCATTCCGTTCTTATTTTTACTGAATTCTTCCTTTACCGTTCCATAGCTACTAGAACCACTTAATTCTGACTTAATTCCACATCACTCCATATTCCCCGCTTTAGGGGAGTACTAAGATTTAGCGCTACAACGATCTACCTATAGATGTTATACCTCTTCATCTTTGGCGTCTTTCACATCATCAATGACCCTTACTCGCCTTGCGATAATCCTTCTGTACCAAGGATAACGAAATTCCCTACTTGCGAGGGTGATACTTAGTATAACCAGGACATACAGTCCCTTAGGCTTAACATTCTTCACATTACTTGCTTTAGGAAAGCGTCTTTCGAAATGACCTTTAAAGGTTATTCTTTTGTCATCCATTCTATTATCGCCGAAATGAAATCTAAAATTCTCATGATGTCGACCATTATCAAATCGCTCAGTCCCTAATTCTGGTTTAGTTTATCTTGTTCACCAGCCCATACTGATTTCTATTATTCTTGGGTCTAATTTTTCCTTTTGGTAATCACGTTAGAGTCACGAACTTATTTTTCAAAAAGAGAATATGAAATTATGGCCTATATTCTTTTGTTGTCTCAAGGCATGTCACCTCTCGTCTTTTCCTTCACTTAACTATAGACTCTGTAATACTGTCATCTTTTAGATCTACCATCGTCATCCATGTATCATATATTACTCATAATGGTTCATTGACTCTCTTCTTATTTCCCACTAGCATTTATGTCGATCATTTTATTCTGAAAACTTCAACAAGACATTCTTTTGCCTTTAGCTCCCCTTTGCTCCATCCAGTGGCTCTTCGGGTTGCTCAACATTCTCCCTCTACTAGGGACGGGAGCCATACTAAGATAAGATTTATCCCTTCCACGCTTCCAGTGCCTATCGTTGTTGTACTCATATCTAGTTGTACTATTTTAGAGTGCACCATCTGGGTGTCTCACAAGGAGATCTATTAGCTTACTTGCACTATCCTTCGGAGATGTCAACTAACGCAAACAATCCATTCACAATTTTGGGTCACTTTGACCCCAGCCGGGTCCTGATATCCTACTTCTATTATTGTTGAAGGTAACTCAAAAGGCTTATATCTCTCTTCCTGAATGGTAAATAATGATTATCTTTATTAACTGGGTACCTCGTACCCTTCTTCACCTTGCCTCTTTTACTTGCTGAAACTTGTGTCTTCCTTCCGATTTTGTAAGAGTGGATAAGTATTCTTGCTTTAGAGCTCCTTATCAAGAACCTTACACCTTTTCGTACATGCATGATCTGTTCAAGACTTCATATTTACTCATCATACGCATGATGCAAAGTCGAGTTCCTCCGACTCAACAATTCCACAACTATATCTCTTACCAACCGTCTTTCTGAATGTAGGCATCGTTGTATTACGAATAACATAGAGTTTAGGAAATTGAGTTCTTACAACTGATCTTTACCACATGATCTAGAGTAAGAAGAAAGAGTGACAATCCCAAATGCCCTGTAGCCTCCTGCTTATAAGTGTGGTGCACGACACACCCATAAACACTCTACGAGACACGACTTCTAGACTCCCTAGGATAGAACTGCTCTGATACCACTCTCGTCACGACCCAATCCGATGAGCCGCGACGGGCACCCGGTACCTTACTCAACCGAATACCAACGCAATGTATCTTTCTTATTACATCATTATAAATAGATGGTCCAGAAGGCACATCATGATACAACCAGAGTAAACATGAGGGGATACCCGGCATAGAACGATCCAACCTGATATAGAAGCTTATATCTGTGACATACGGGCCTATAAGGCCAACGTGATGCGTTATATACTTTAAATGTAGGCCGACAAGGCCATGCAAATATCTGTACACATGACATTTATCTACAAGACTCTAAGAGTACATACTTATCATAAAGGTCATAACTGACCCCACCGTACCAACCAATACATGAACTAATCGTACTGACCAAATAAGCAACCCCGGAGCACTGGAGTGCATCAACATCTTCCACTGAGCTGATAGCCTACTTGGAGGACTCTCGACCTGTCTATCAGGACCTGCGGGCATGAAACGCAGCGTCCCCAAGCAAAGGGATGTCAGTACAAATAATGTACTACCGAGTATGTAAAGAATGAAAACCAGTAAATAACAGACATGAGAGAAACATGAAGTAAATGACTCGACATGTAAGTCTGAGTAACTCTGTAAATAATGAAATACTCAAAATGTCATACATATGCGAATGTATGTTATGTCGTGCATAGGTACATGTGTTCATAACATCATCAAGCCTCTGAGGGCACCCAATTATATCAACTTGGCCACTGTGGGCAAAATCATCAACGTATACTAGCTGATCAGGTGGTGGTGCGCATATAATGCCGAAACCTTTTTCCATATCCCATAGACATATATATACGTACATATATACACATATATAACGTCATCTGGTCATGGGTCAATGTGCATGTATAAATGAATGAAATCCATATGAAATACGTTAATAAAATCTATCGGTACGTCATAAGACCATTATGGCCCATATTAATATTATGAAATATACTTTACCAACTTACGTATTTTTGATACCCATGAACAGATGGTAGAATAATATGACACATGGGGAACCAAGAAGCATCTCTAGTATTTCTATGAATAGAGTCATTTTATGGAAGTTGTGCATTTGCTCATTTCATTTTTATCGTATGAATCATGCCAAAAAGAAGAAGGGATAGCCTTAACATACCTGAGCAGATTCTTTTGACAATCTCTCTAACACACATCAATTGCGACAACACGTAACGGCAGAACGATGTAGGAAAACATTCGCATGAATTTCTTTGCTCCAGATCGTTATTTGGTAGATGTAAAACATCTCCATTTTTTTGTAACTTTGATCAAAATATATTGTACAAACTTTCCTGTTGAAACATCCGTAACTTTTGAAGATAATGTATCTTCATTTTTGTGAATTTTGTATTAGCGGGCGGGCCCAACACTTTTGATGACCAAGCCTTTAAATGTGTCTCCTTATCCACTTAGCCAAAGAGTCATATTTTTGATTTGTGAGTCCTTTCATTTGCTGCCACGTTTGGGCACCATAGGCTTATCCAAGATTCCTTAATCAACTTTGTTTTCCCTCATTAATCCAATAATTTCTTAATTATAAGTTAATCTCCCACTTAAAAATTTATAATTACCTAATTATCCACAAAATTAAGAATTATCCCAAATTACTTAAAATATTACTTATTTTTAACACACCTTATACACCTTACTGTCATGGTCATGTAGTACCTTGTATGGCACTAGTCCATAAATACCGGGTATTATAGCTCGGACCGTATTTTATCCCAAAATGTCAAACTTTGACGAAATTCATTTTGTTCGATTTGCTTACCCTACCACCTTCACGAATTTACTCATCACTCATTTGAAATAGCATAATACTTATAATCTCAAAATAATCTCATTCCCGAACTTACGTTGATTAACTTACGATAAAACTTTAATGTACGAAAATGCGGCACGTACCATCTCATTTCCGATCATATATCAATTTACTTGTGACGTACTTCCACGTACGAAAACATGGGTCGTAACATGCAAGTATGGGTTGCATTTGCTAGATCTGCAGCTGAACAAAAGGTTGAAATTTTGGATATAGTCACATTTTATCACATTTGTTAGCCCTAGACTTAGTGGGAGGCGACTTTAAGATCAGACTTTCATATCAAACTATTGGGTAAGTGATTTTGACTCACTTTTGATAATATAACATAATTGTTTATGGATCTTAACATCTAAATCATGAGATAGAAGAGAAAATTTGTGGAACTATTTATTATGTTTTAAAAACAAAAAATTGAGATTCGACAGTCGAATTGGACTCAAATTTGAAAACCAAACACATATATAGACTCGTCGGGTTATGGGCAGTCGAGATCTACTCTTCAACTCGAGTTTTGACCGGACGGGCCCGAGGTTGACTTTTCTTAACTTTTGTGGAATTGTGTAAAGACCTTAACTTTATTAACCGAAATTGGTTACTCTTGCATTATTTGATATTAATAAGTCATGTTTTGTTAGATTTGGGCCGAACGAAGGTGAATTTTAAAGCAAAAGCATTTTTAGAGCATTGATTGAGGGTTTTTGAGATAAGTATCTTGCCTAACCTTGTGTGGGAAAAATTACCACTTAGGATTTGGCTTATTTTCATACTTGTGATATGTGTGAAACGACGTGTGTAGGAGGTGACGAGTGTGTGCATGGTTGTATGTGTAATTTTGACCGAATTTGAACTGAGGTTGCTCTTATTTCCTTGTTTTGATTGTGAGATCTCTACACTACGTGTTTCTTCTTTGGATGATTACTTTAGTTCATGTTCCATGCTGGAGATCATGTTTATAGGATTTGAAATTCCTAAATTTCCTAAGTTTGGCATTTGTGAGATTTTTGCTAAGTTGAGTTAGCTGAATTCATGCCTATATGTTGAACACCCATCCGCATTCCTTTTACTGGACTTCCTTGTGCTCTATGTTGGCAGATTATGAGTTTATGTCTTGATGAGCATGTTCTGTTGTTAGGATTATGGCACATGTGGACTTGTAGGGCGAATTATTTGGGCTTTTGCACGAGGTTTCTGTTATGCTAATGTTTTTACTTATATTGCACATGCGGCGAGATAAGAAGTGATACATATAATAGATCTACTCCTAGTAATTAAGGTTGTCCATATTTTTCTTTCCTTATAAAGTTATTCTAAGAAAGTATGTATTATCCTTGAATTCTATTGAGGTTCATATCGATTTTATGGATATCCATAATATTAATTGAATATGCGATGACCTTACGTCACTCCGAAAGGTTTAGAACGTGATTCTATGAGTCCAACATGTATTATATATATGAATCTATTTTACTCTGCCGAGTTGTGCTATAGTCTACTGGGTACGACACTTATTGTGCAACCATTAATCAGTTGGGTTTTACCGAGCTCCGAGCTCTACGTGGCCGGGTATGATTCTACCGAGCCTTATGATGACCGAATACATTTTACCAAGCCAATTACAACCGGGTACGATACGATGATGATGATGCCTACAGAGTTGTATGTTTTAAACGTGTATATATATATATATATATATATATATATATATATATATATATATATATATATATTCGAGCCTCGATTCACTCTAAAGATAAATGTATTGGAGTAACATCCATAATAGTGTTCGGTAAGCTAATGACTTTTCATCATTCTAAATAGTTTGTCACTGGATCGAGTAACGAGCCTCATAGATATTCTTATATAATACTATTTATATATATATATCACTTTAGTCGGGTATCTATACCACTACAGTTGGGAACGTTATTACATATATCTATACCATTGTAGTTGGGGACGTTATTATTGTATGTACATATGTGTGTGTATATATATATCGACTGAGCTATAATCGCTTGGGAATGGCCTAATATGGCATTTCTATTGTATTATAATTACCACCACCGAGCTATAACCGGTTGGAAATGGCCCTATATGTCATATAGTCCTTTGTGGCATAAGTAATGTATTATAAGTAAAGGAACGAACCTAATGTACGATTATCCCAACGGTCCTAGAATGACGCTCCACATAGCGACCCAAAGATATCATCAGAAAGACTCGGAAAAATATTCAGAACGAGTTAAATACTGTAAGACTTAGTATGAGTTCATGTAGGATGTTACTAAGTCTTTTGATGTATTTCGTCGATTTTATTCCATTTGTCTCTTGTATGAGTTTCTGTATTTACACATTCTTTTTTGTCTGCCTTACATATTTGGTACAGTCATTCTGTACTGACATCTCTTTGATGGGGATGCTGCATTTGTTATATTTCATATAGCAAGTCCAAATATACAGGTTGGCAGTGTTTCTTGCTAAATAGTGCAAACATTTAATGGAAGGGTTGTAAGCACCATTTCTACCTGGAGCTGAGTCAGCCCTGGTGTCCTTATTGATCTTAAAGATTACGAGTAGGTCGGGCCCTTTTCTGACGTTGTATCACTTGTTCAGTGGTAGGTATTTAAAAAGGCTTCATACACAGTATTGGTGTGTTTACTTGAATTCATTTCCACATCTATTTCATATCTTAGGAAAATGGCCACAGTGATATATAAGACTTTTACATTTTATATTTGCCTTTCAAGTTACGGCATGTAATCTGTTACAGGTACATATTAGTTGCATATAGAGCATAGTCCACCCCATTCAGACATGGGGTGTGACACATGCTTTCCATCAATACTTAGTTTGATAATTTATGTTCTTATAACCTATTTCTATGGCAATTTTTTGGTTGATATTGTAGCAACAACTTTTTGAGATAGCAGACAAATCGTGGAGGGAGTCGCGTTCACGAGCTTGTTATTAAGGTCTTTATTTCATGAATATAACTTTTCCATCCCATCTTCTTAAGTATTAATAATGAGTTTTCATGTAAGAGTGTACTTTGAAAAACAGCAGAAGTTTACACCCATTTGGTAGAATTCTGGAACATTAAGTTGACCTATCAGAACAAAGGGGAACTAATGGACAAAATTCAGCTTTCAACATAATATTTCTACTTATACAACAAATCTTCATTACATTATTAGAGTGAATAAATTAGACTTGGGCATAATTTGTGAAATATGAAGGAAGGGATTAGGCTAAACTATTATACTATGATTGCCCAGTAATTGCTTTCTAAAAGAACAGAGACCTAAATAAAAATCTTCAACAAGCCTTCACATATACATCGTCTTCTTACACTATTTCAAGACAGCATGTGTTTCAAGCTCTTTGTGAAAGTTATACATGATCTTTTGATACTTGGTGGCTGATAATTTTGGAGTTCTCTGAAGATTAGTATAGTTGACATAGTAAAGTCCAAATCTTATGCTATATCCATCTTGCCACTCAAAGTTGTCAAGAAGGGACCAAACAAAGTATCCCCTTATATCTGCACCTTTCCTGATGGCATTTGCCAGTGAATTTAAGTTTTTATGCAAGTATTTTACTCTACGAACATCGTTCAAGGTATCCTCTATAGAAGAACTATTCCCAACAAAGCCTGCAACATTGCTAGTTATGTTAGTAGTTGTATCCGCCGGTAGATCAAATTGTATCTTGCTCAGGTAATTAGTTGATGAACTGTATCTCATTCTTAAGGACAAGAATGTGAAATATTTTTTCTTACCATTTCCAGTGATAAACATAGGAGTATTGTTGAATTTTTCCTTCAGATACATCACAACGTTTTCAATCCCTTGTGGGTACACAAATTGCCAGTCCACTTCCCCCTGTTTTAAAAAAAAAATCTTTTAAAATATTACTTTAGCAGTGTAGAAAGTGCATGTAATAATTTGCAGAATGAGATTAAAGATAAGAATACTGATGTGATTTAAGGAAACATACAGGTTCCCCAATGTAGATGTCGTCTCTTTGTGTAGTCCTAAAATAAGAACCCTCTGACCAAGAGTTTCCATGTTCACAGGCAGAATATAAGCAATCTTTGATATAGCTAGCCGAATAATGATTGATGTCAATGAAATCTAGGCCATAACTCAAATTGCTCAAATCATTCATTGAAAATTCTGGAAGATTAGATCCCAAAATTTGTACCATTTTTTTAGGATATCTTCCTAATATAATAGGGTCTAAAAACCTGCATGCAGGTACTTAGTAAAAATATTTTTTACTCTCTTTCCGATGAATAAATATCATATCGTATAATCAAATTACTTTTATAGAAGGCTTACCAACTATCATCGAATGATCGAGCTCTATGTGTTGCAGCTATGTCTTCTGAGGAATTGCTTAACGGTTCATACCATTCGAAACCCATAGTAATGCCAATCACGCCTCCTTGACTTTTCTGAAAAGCAGCAGAAAATAGACTATCTTACTGATATCTTTTTTGGTCTTCT